GTAGGGTAAATGATCAGAACTTGTCTGTTGGGTACAATTTACATTATTTGGGTAATGGTTACACTAGCAGCCCACATTCCACCACTATGCAATATATGTATGTCTTTTAGAAATTTAGGAAAACGTTTCATCTTTCACTGAAGTCTTGTTCTTAAAAAACTAAAGTGTTTTGTCTTTCAGAGAGTGGTTTACTCCTTTTTCCTTACTGTGCTTGCATTTGCTTCAAAGATGAATGAAGTAAAATACCAAGAGGAGGAACTATATTTTAGAAGTAATTTAAAATATAGACTTCTAATTTTTTTCCACTGGGACCAAGAAGATACTTGATTTAATTTTGATATTTTTGAATTTATTAAAACTTTATGGCCAAGCATATGGTCTATTTTGGAGAATGTTCCTTGCATAGCTAAGAAAAAATGTATATTTTGCCACTGTTGGATAGAATATTTTTGTAAATGGCTACTAGTTCTATTTTGTGTAGAGTCCCATTCAATTCCAGAGATTTTTGTTGATTTTTCTGACTCAGTCAAATGTACTTTTCCATTTGGAAGAAAAATAAATCTGCATATATTTGAAAAGTATCTACTGTTAAAGTATTTTCTATTTTAGCCTTCTAATGACTAAATATGATTTAGGCACATAAGAGTCTTTCAAACTCTGGAGGTATCATACTGTTTTGCAATTATGTTCTGTTAAATAACGCTTAGGCAGATTACAAGTACTTAGCTAAATTAATATGAGCAACCGTTTACAATCTGTTATATTTTGCTTATGGTAATTTTTAAGAGATTATGTTGGATGCACAAACAAGCTAGCTGAACCTGCTAAATGAGTGTATGCTCTTAATCCTTTTTCTCTTACTGCATTTAAATTACACCATAAGAATTGTTCTTTTTATAGCATGTCCTTAAGAGTCTAACTGAATACCTTTGCCATTAAGAAGAGTATTATATATAAATGCATACCTACAGACAGATACACATACATATACATATACTCATACATTTTTTTAAACTGTGATGAGACTAAACTAAATACAGCACATGTATACAAGAGTTTGCTAATATAATTTCTATCACTAAAGCAAACTATCACTAAAATTTCAATTTTCCTGGCTTCATGCAGACCAGACAATGTACTTCTTTTAAAGTTCTTAATCATGTTTTCTCAAGTAGTCTTAAATTTATCTGGGACTTAAGTATAAGATCTCTATTTTGATTACTGGAATTTGGGCATTAAATTGTAGTTGGTATTTTTTTGTTGTTTGCACAGATGGTTGTTTTGGAGACAGGGTCACTTCACTACATTGCTTAAATCCATGTGATGGTTCTCCTACAAGGGTGTGCATGGCATTTACACCTATATGGTATACAAACATAGTTATCATGCTTTAATATTTGGAACTGATGGTGATAGTGGAGGAAGAGACTTAAAAAAACAGTACCTGTTCTGAAACAGGCAGTTATTGGAAGCTGCTTTTTAGCAAGTGAGGTTTCTGCTTTCAGACATGCCTTTGTGTTTGAAGTGCTACCTCTTTTCTATTAGTCTCTATAATGTAGTCCTAAAGAGGCTGTTTTTCTCAAAATGGTATCGGCCCATCTCAGATTTCTAGCTGCCAGCTGCCTGCTGCTATTTCTATTTATTTCAAATAATTAGCAATTCTTTTTACATTTCTATGGGCTGAGTTTCTGTAGTCCAGTACTTCTTTTGGCTAAAAAATATACTGGCTTCATATCAGAGCATGTCTACTAACCATGGCTGTAAAAGCAATGGATGCATTCTGGTACAGCATCTTGATAATTTCAAGTGCATTTTGCTAATTGAAGACAACATTAACACAGTGCTTGCCAATAAATCATGTCCGAATACTGAACAATGGAAATGATAGTGTTTAAAGGCTCTCTAGGCTCTGAGCATACATTATTATTCTTAAATTCTTTTAAATTTCATTTCTTCTCATGAGTGCCATTCATACTGGACACCTAATATTTTACCTACCCAGCAAACATTTACCTTTTTTATGGTAAAAGAACCTTGACTTTTCCGGGAAGAGATAATTCTTTCCTCAATCTTAGTCCATGTGATTAGAAAGAGTTTGGCTCAGCCTTGAGCTTTAGGAAGAGATGTGACCCCAATGTGGCCATTCAGGACACTTTAAGCTTCTCAATGACTCATTACCTCAGTTGGACCAGTGAGATCCTTACATATGAGTTTGTTAAAACTCAATGAAAAGAATAGTGTTTTGTTTGTTTGTTGTATGTTTCCAAAAATAAATTTTTAACTGATCCAATATCATCATCTTGCTGTCACTGGTTTGTCACCTGGCACTATTTGTGTTTGAGAATAAATGGCTAAAAATAAAGTCACCAAAGATAAAAGCAAATCAGTAGTGAAGACTTAGCTTGTGAGCTATTCTTGACTATCTCATTCGAACATGTATATCATGTCATATCTAAAAGTGTTCCTACGCTTGAATTTTTCTGTTATGCCAGCCAAATACTCCTTATCTTTATTTTTATTTGGAACAGTTTGCATTGGGTTACTGCTCCCCACAGCTAAATTATATTATATACCATCCTTAAATACAGCATCCTAAGCTCTTAACACTGGTATTGATAATTACAAAAAAACAATCATAATCGAACCATAAACTCTAGGACAGAGTGAATCATTTATTATGTGATAAATTAGTAAACACTGTTTTACTGATATTAACATCTGTCATTTTACTTCCATGGCTATAAAGAAACCGTTTGATGTAATATGTACTCGAATACAAAAGTCTTTGGGTCTTCCTTATCCTTTTTTTTCTTCGTTTTTGGTTTCCTCCCGGGTTTACCCTTAGGTATAATGTGGCTACTTTGGTTTTATAATACTTAGTGATTTTTCTCTTTTATGAAGCCAATCCATAAATAGGGTGCTGGCGTATCAATATAACACAGTAAAATGGAGACTGGCGATGAGCTATGGAGGTAACAGAACACAGTGACAGCTCTGAGCCCTATAGTTCAGGAGAGAGTTGCTGCCAAGTGTAGGATTTGCCCAGCAAGACCTTGGTTTTCAGGATGATTGTCATTTCATTGTATTATACTGGGCCTTTACACAATCCATAATTTATTGCATGTCTTCTGAAATGTGTGCTTCCAGGACAGAGTCAGCAATGTAGGGACTTTCCTAAATAACTTTATCAAGGTCTCCAACGTATGCCTGTAAATACCAGGGATAGAAGGGTTTTCTATACTTTCCAAACGCCAGACATAAGGCTTCTGTTTAATACCTGATCAGTGTAAAATGCAAGGGCTGGAATGTCACTTTTACCTCCACGCCTTTAGCTTCACAAATATACCCAGGGACTCATACTTTTGCTGACTATAATATTTTGCTGATAGGTAGGGACAGTTTTTAAGACCTTGAACTGCTCTGAATTGTAATAGACATATATGTTAACCCTGATTCTCCTGCTTATTATCTAGGAGCCCTTGGGATGTGGTCAGTTTCCTCCCTTGTAATAAGGGAAAAATTTAATGAACTATTTTATAGAATGCTGGCTATTGTATAATATAATCATTATTTTTCCTCAAAATTTGATTTAAGTATTAGCGTATTACAGTCAAATATTAAAATAATAATCTAGGGCTGGGTGTGGTGGCTCACTCCTGTAATTCCAGAACTTTGGGAGGCTGAAGCAGGTGAATCACAAGGTCAAGAATTCGAGAGCAGCCTGGCTAACATGGTAAAACCCCGTCTCTACTAAAGATACAAAAAATTAGCCAGGGGTGGTGGCACACAACTGTAATCCCAGCTACTCGGGAGGCTGAGGCAGGAGACCTTGAACCCGGGAGGTGGAGGTTGCAGTGAGCCGAGATTGCACCATCGCACTACAGCCTTGGCAAGAGGGCAAGACTCTATCCCAATAAATAAATAGATAAATAAATAAATAACAATCTAAAATAAGTTCAATTCTCAAGCAAAGATTTGTTTTACTAATAATTTCTAAGATGTGTTATTTATTCAAAAATATTCTCTGACCCATATATGTTATAGCATGAAATTATTTGGCTAAAGTTACTCCTTGATTTATATGTTCTACCTGGCCTCTTCCATTCTCTTACCTATGTGACTATATTGTAAGCATATATATTGGCCATGAGTTTGTACTTGTATTTGGTGCCCAGAGAGGTCATATACATGAAATTGTCCCCATGAAGGAAGAGTAGCAAAGACCCTTGAGACAAATGAATCACCCAGAGCAAAGGAAAGATGCTCTTCTCTGGAATTCAACATAGTCATGGAGTCAGAGCACACAAGAAATGATCTATCAATACAGCCTCAAGGTCACAATTTCCAATTCAGAGAATCACCCAAGAGAGGGTTTCAGAATTAGTAAGTGCTTTTGGGACTGAAGAAGAAAGCAGTGCAGGAAGAAACACCATTTATAAAAATGAAGAAGCTACAGTGAATACTAAATTTTTTTCTCCTTTCTCTGCAAATGACAAAACAAGTAAGCACTCACTTATCTAACTGACATCACATGAAATGAGAAGTGATAGTAATTATGACTTATTAAAAGTATTGTAAATCATTACCTTGCTAACAATGATAAACACCAGTTATCCCGGACAGAAGAGATACTTGACCAAACAAACAAACAAAACAAAAAATACTTTAAAAGGACATAAAAGTGAGAAATCAAGACAATAATTTTTTTTTTTTTTTAGAGAAGGAGTAGAGAGAAAAATAAATGACACCCTGGAGTTAAGAAGTGAATGTGTCCCCCAAATTCATATGCTGAAGCCCTAACCCCCAGTTTGATGGATCAAGGAGGTAGGGCCTTTGGGAGGTAATTAGGTTTAGATGAAATCGTAAAAGCAGATAACAGTGATAAGATTAGTGTCCTTATAAGACGAGAGTACTGTGAGAAATCCATGTCTGTGGTTTAAGACATCCAGTGTATGCGATTTTGCTGTGGCAGCCCACACTGACTAATTAACTGGGTGAGATTTTGTTTTTTATTAGAGTTAAAAAGAGCAAAGTCCCACATACCATACCCTACGAGACACAAGGTGAGCAGACGAACCTTTGTCATGTACCAGAGCTGTAGGGAGAGGCTGTCCGCCCGGCCTGGGCTACTCCAACTGGGCGGGGAGGCGGCCCCATCGCAAAGTGCAGTTTCTCTGTGGAGGTGGCGGCCAGTCAGTGGCAGAGGGCCATGGTTTCCATGTTAAGGAAGCAGATGTGCATCTTGGACTCAATGTCGATCCCCTGCAAGATCTTCAGGAAGTCCTCGAAGGTGATCCCTTCGTACACCTGATCAGGCTCCATTTGCCCCAAGCACACGCTGGCCGCCTCCATCATGGCCCCCTCGGCGATGGAGCCAGCGGACTCCTCCATGTGCTGGTTTTCCAACAGCAGCTCCTCGACCACATTTCGGTATTCTTCCAGGGTGATGCGGCCGTCGCTGTCGGCGTCATACATGTGGAACAGAAATCTCAGCTTCTCCTTCCGGGACTGCGCCACCTGCTCCTCGCCCGTGTTGGTGTCGATGGGCCGGAAGTAGGACATGATAGTCAGGAAGTCCTCGAAATTGATCTCATCAGCCAGGCCGCTGGATCCCTTGCGCAGGTTCCTGTGGTCGAAGAAGGCACGAACAATTTTGGAACGGATGGGGTTGAGCTCCAGGTCCGGGACATTGTTGAAGTTCTCCTTGCGAATGGTAGGCTGGTCTCCACTCAGCTGCTTAAATCTCCGATGGAGCCGCTCGATCTGATCCGATGAGAAGCCGGTCTTGCTCTCGAGCTCCCGCACCTCCTTTGACACAGAGCGGGAGTGGGCAACGCCCATGGTGCCCGCAGCGAAGGTGCGAGGTGGCAGATGCGCATCCCTTGCAGGCTCCACAATGGCCCTGACTGCGCGGCCAGACTGGCCTCGGGGCTGGCCTCGGGTCCGGCCTCGGGTCCGGCCTCGGGTCAGAACGCTGATGAGGTGGAGTTCCTGATCGAGGGAGATGGTTACCATCATCCCCTGCTTCAGTCTGGACAAGATTTACCTCATGGTTGGTGGGGCGAGGGAACTGGAGCCTTTTAACCCAGGTTTGGTTTACCAATGGAAGTGCCCTGTAGCTGGCAATTAACCTGAAACAAAGACAGAAATGTCAGCTGCTCCCTCCGGAGTGGACGGATATAGAAAAGCTGGAGAAGATGAGGGATCATGAACGAAAGGAACATTTACCTACCCCAATGCCCAGCCCTTACTACATGGATCTTACCAAGCTGCTGTTAATCATACTTCAGACAACATCCCGAACACAGGAGAAATCCCGATCCTGGTCAAGGATATGTGGGACACTTATATAGCCAGCCTTCGAGTGTCTGCTGACAGCTTTGTGAGACAGCACTAAGCACATGCCAAGCTGGATAACTTGACCTTGATGGAGATCAACAGCAGTGGGACTTTCCTCACGCAAGCACTCAACCACTGTAGAAACTGCGCACAAACCTCCAGCTTTCGGAGAGTACCCAGTCTCAGGACTTCTAGAGAAAGGTCTAGTGCGGGAGGCTCTCTGGGGGATGTGAGTGCGCAGGACCTGAGGTACTCGTGGTTCTGGAGCTCTAGAAACTTTTGAATGCATGAAAAACGTCTGATGGTGCAAGGAATGGATTTATGACATTGTTAGAGAAGCGATAAGTTTGTGATTCATCCGTAAAATTTGGCTCCCTGGGACAGTCTTCAATTCTACATCTGTTTCTAGAAACCAGCTTTTTTTTTTTTTTTTTCCTTTTGAGAAAAAAGCTTTAGGCAAATAAGTTATTCTCCCTAGCAGAGCCACTTGGGTCTCCTGCGTGGAAACCGTCACACTTGGGTGACTGTTAGGTGTAGATATAGCAGTAGCGGCCATGTAGCCCAGGGCTTTTTTTCCTCCTTCTTGATCCTGATTTCTTGGGCTAAATTTAGGCTCCCCCACAGAGGTGGCTCACAGAGAAGGATGGTAGATGGTGCAGCTAACGATACTGACCACAACGAGCCGTTATCCACAATAAAAATGGACTAAACTCAAAAAAAAAAAAAAAAAAGGTTAAAGGTTAATATTTTAGTGTTCAGAAGTTTTATAAAACATTTATAAATTTTATTAAAACATATGTAAGTACACTCACTAGGACAAATGTCTGTATTTTATCTGGAACATTACCGTATTTGTTTATAAATAAATAATATTAAAACTAATATTAATAAGGTTGATAGTAGTAGTTTACCTTTATATATTACTTCCAGTTTTGTCATTAACTCTTACTATCATGATTTTAGTAAGTCCTAGAGAGAATCAGAGACTTGTCAAGACTACAAAGCAAGTAGAATAGAATTGGCACAAAAATTTATATTTTTTCTAAATGCTCAATCAAGGTTTCTCCTGTTATAGCATACCCTCTCAAATAGGTTCTTCAAAATTTTATGAACATTTGACACAGACGTAGACCTTATTTTTACACATAGTACCATTGCTTTTTAAAATTTGGGATATTTTCCGTTGAAATCAAGTAACAATTATATTGGTTAATGCATGTCTCCCTGGGGACAAACTGAAGCTCTGTTCTAATAATTTCTTGTTGTTCTTAGCAATATAAAAAAATTATAAAATTGGAAGTGGCCTGGCCTAAATTGTTGTCAGAGTGTGTGATATATTGAGGGGATTAGAATTGTTTTTTTTTTTTAGTCAAAACAACCAACTGTGGGTCTTTGGTTTGATTAGTTTCACTACACCTTGAGTGCAAAGAAAGAGTATGTAATGATGCTTTGAAGTTAAAAGACTTAAACACACAAGAGTGGGACCTGGTAGAAAACTGAGGCAAACAGAGTTGAGATTAATATCCAAGATTGGGGATATGTCAATGAATTCAATATTTTAAATATAAAACAATTCAAGCTGCTATCTCTATGGTAGTTAAAATTGCCAGCTTTTATTACAATTCCTACTTTGTTCTGAAATTGGCTAACTTTATAAAATCTCCATTAAGCTTATGGACAAAATGTTATTGTTTAGCTAAGTGGTATTATAATTTTTCTCTTTTTCTTTTCCAGTTGTTCAAGTTAGGAAATTTAGAACACAATTATCTTTCATTGTTATAACACTGGACTTAAAACACAGTGTATCAACGAATACACTAAAATAATATTCTCCATAATTACTTCGTATATATCTTAGCTTTTTATTAGTTTATATTTTCCTACTGTATATTATATTATTCTTCAAATGCATGATCTTACTATTCCTTTCATTAAAACTCATCTCTTTCTAATCTGAATAATTTCTCCAGCTGTCCAGATCCATCTGTATTTTTGATCAAACTGATTTATTATCTCTCAGTTCTAACATTTTATTATTATACATTTGGATGTGCATTCATTCACATTTTTCACTGACTGCTTAATTATTGTGTGGAATAATATCAAAGCACATTCTGATCTCCAGGGACCTTCCTTGATACTTCTATCTTCCAGTGAAGCATAAAATAATTGCAGTTTTCTGTTTGCTGGGCTAATTTGTATATTCTTATTGCACCATTATTTATATGTAATAAAACATTAATGAAACTATCAATTACATTGTGTTTTTCAAAACTCAACTTTTAGAAAAAAGCAGAAAATTATAATAACTAGCAAGTACTGGGTTTTTAAAAATTGACACATAGTAATTGTACAGGCATATCGGCATATCTCCTTTTATTGTGCTGTGCTTTACTACTCTTTGCAATACCCTGTTTTTTACAAATGGAAAATTTGTGGCATCCTTGACTTAAGCAAGTTTTTCAGCGCCGTTTTTCAATAGCATGTACTCACTTCACGTCTCTGTATCATGTTATGGTAATTCTCACAATATTCCAAACTTTTTCATTGTTATTATACCTGTTATAGTGATCTGTGATCAGGTACCTTTGATGCTACTATTTTAATATTTGAGGGCACTATAAACCAAGCCCATTTAAGACAGTAAACTTAATAGATAAATGTTTCCGTGTGTTCTGACTGCTCCACTACCTGTCTCTCTCATTCTCTTCAGGCCTCCCTATCCCCTGAGGCTCAAAAATATTGAAAGTAGGCCAATTAATAACACTACAAGGACCTTTTAAGTGTTCAAGTGAAAGGAAGAGTCACATGTCTCTCACTTTAAATCAAAAGCAATAAATGATTCTTAGTGAAGAAGGCATGTTGAAAGCCAAGGCAGGTGGAAAGCTAGGCCCCTTGCTTGAAACAGCCAAGTTGTGAATACAAAGAAAAGGTCATTGAAGAAAATTAAAAGCGCCACTTCAGTTAACACAAAAAAGAACACAGAAACTAAAAGAGCCTTATTGCTGATATGGAAAAAGTCTTAGTAATCTGGATAGATCGAACCAGTCACAACATTCCATAAAGTCAAAGTCTAAACCAGAGAAAGGGCCTCTTTTATTTCATAAAGGCTGAGTGAGGTGAGAAAACTACAGAAAAATATGTGAAGCTAGCAGAGATTGGTTCATGAAGTTTAAGGAAAGATGCCATCTCTATTACACAAAAGTGAAAAATGAAGCATCAAGTGTTGATGGAGAAGCTCCAGCAAGTTGTCCAGGTGCAGTTAAGGTAATTTATGAAGGTGGCCGCACTAAACAAGATATTTCTGATACAGACAAAACAGATTTATATCAGAATAAGATGCCATCTGGGACTTTCATAGATATAGAGAAGGAAAAGTTAATGTATGTCTTGATTTATGTAGCAAACTTTCATAGCTAATATTGACAAACTTTTAAATGTTAAGACTTAGATACAGCAATATCTTCAGGCATTCTATTTGGAAAATATACTACAGACCCTACAGGAAATGAAGATAATTGGTCCTGCTAATTTCATGTGTAGAATGAGACCGCAGGCAGTTTTTCATCCTCTATCTCCAGGCAACACTTACATATCCAGAGAGAATAATCGGTAGAATTTGTTAGGCAAACGAAAAATATGGACACATAAGTCTCTCTCTTTTTATGATCAGAAAAAATCAGCTAACTCGTTTAACTTAAATGTTAATTTCTGGTTCATATAATGCAGGTTTTGAATAAAAAATTTTCTAAATATTTTTGCTAATATGTAAAACACCAACACATAATTCCTTCTACCTTATATTTAAGAAAGTTTCTATTTAAATCAACTCTATGGCAGTGCAGCTATTTATATTCTAAAGATTTTTTTTCTAATTCAGAAACAGATAATGTAGCAGTCTTTGCCTTTCTCATGGCCAAACTCAGCCTATCTTGGGGTCTGTCTTTGAAAAGGAACACTACATTTTCTTCCTCTATTATAGTGGCTGCTGCTTCCTACATACAATTGTATTTTCTATGAAAATATTAAGACAGTGCCCCAAATTCATAGTCTCTGATCTTAGTCCTTTATCCTAATTCCCCTATTCCTACACAGCTTTAAATTTTAGCTATGATCAAGAAACTTGATTATATTTTTAAGGGACTTAATTAATTGGGCCTTGTTTGGAATGAGGACATAATCAATCCAGGTAGGTAAAACCCAAAATAAAATATCGCGTGATTTGCATTTCATAAGTATAAACACGGGGTAGTTCAGGGATGTTAAAGAAAGCATTTATTAAATGAAGAAAATAGCATGAATAATAAACAAGAAGGAAAACTCATATGTTGGTTAACATAAGGAATTACAACTTAGAATAGGAAGATAAGTTAATAGGATATCAAAAGTTTCAATTATAACATATAAGTTCTGTGATTGTCTTGATTAAATTACATAACCACAGCAATCTCTTGTTACATCATTTTAAAGATGATAGTTATAAATGCTAAATTGTTCCTGAGATTTAACCTAAAAAGCAGATCTAAAACTGTCAAATTGGCTTGTGCATAATGATAGGTGATCATAAAATGTTAGTTGTGTAATTCCTTTTATAACTATGGGGTGTATAAGTTACAGTGTAATATGGAGGAGCATTATGAGACAACAGAGTGACAGGGATTTCAAAAAAAAAAAAAACAAGGAACACATGGTTAAGCTTATCATCTCCAGAGAGGAAATCTGTAGTATGATAATTCACTGGATAGGTGAACCTCATATTAGTGTAATAGAAACATGGTAACAGATATCCAATAAAACCATTTAGCCAGGTATGGTATAACACTAGCCAATCTTATATTGCTATTGGGTTACCCAAATTTTGTTTAAGAAGGAGCTTTATGTATGTATTATATGTACATATTCATATTTTAAGTTCTTTAAAATATTGATGCCTCTTCACATTGTCATAGGTCAAGCAGTAGAAGTGATTGCCTGCGCTTCAGGTACCTTAGCTATCATTTCTTATGCATAGTTAGACAATGTAGGGAAAGCAAAATTTTATCTCTATCTTAGAGTTTTGGCTGGGCCTGAAAATTAAATTAATATAAGACAAATTAACAGGAGAAGAGCATACACATGTATTTCACATAAGTGTTAAATGACATGAGAGCTTTCATGAAAAAGTGAAGACCTAAAGAAGTGGTAAAAGCTACATATTTTTATACTGGATTGAACAAAGATAGGCAATTACATAAAAGCAGCTAAATCTTGTGCAGAAGCTAAGGGAAGATAAGAATTATTTTAATAAAATCCATTTGTATAGTGAAAGGGGAGGATCACAGTGCTCTTCTTGCAGCTGTAATATTTATAAATGCCTTTATCTCAAAATAATCTTTATGCCACAATGGCATATTTTGGGGTGGCATATTCTGCCACCCTTC